TACATTAATAGAATATTTTATTTAGAGGAACATAACAGCATAGCGATGTTCACATCCAAGCAGAAAATAACAACCGAGTGGGGCGAGAAGAAACGTCATCCTCCGAGAAGGAATGAATCACAGAAGAGCAGCTGGAAAAGAAAAAAACATAAAACATTGATTAGTTTAAAGGTTCAGGGACGGCGTTCAGTTTCAGTGTGTTCGAGTATTTCATGATCCTTTATTCAAACCCCTCTGATGTAAAGACTCACCGTGGGTTTACTCCCCGGAGGGCCGCACGCTCTCAAAGATGCCGGCTTCCCTCATGGCGTTGAACTCTTTGACCGAGTCGTACTGCTTGTAGAAGTCGGCGTAGGCCTGTTTCCTGGGCTCCGTCACTGCATACTGTGGGAGAGTTAAAAAACACACGAGTCTGATTCAAAATGTAAAATGAAACGTTTAAAGAGCGCAGACTGTCAGAGGTGTGACAGACTCTTTAGTGTTCAGAGTCCTTAAAGCACCTTTATGATGACCGGCCTGTCATCAGAAACGTCAGTGACACGTTTATTTATAGACGAGGTCACACACTCACTCTCGTCTGTCATGAAGAATCTGTTTGCTGGGAAGGTTATCTCATGCAAAATCATTTCTTTTTAGAATATTTGTCATGTTTTATTTGAGAGGAGCTTTATCTGCTCAGAGCTGACAGTGAGGGCGTTTACATCGACACAGAAACCACTGTCCATTTTTTGATCTGGGTTTTTTTTAAATATAAACATCTTTGTGTTTGTAAACATGATATCCTGATTTCAGAACCCGGAATAACCCAAAACATCCTCCAGATATGTGTGCATTAAGTGTCTGCTTCGCTACCACTCTGCATCCTCGTCTGTTAACCCTCACGCAGCAGCAAAGCAGAAACGCTCTAGTCCAAAGAGACCAGTTCTCTGAGTTCTTGCGGTAATTACAGAGTCATGCACGACAGAGTGAGATAATAAGCTGTATGTGGTATAAGACCATATAAAACTCTTATAAATAGTTCAACAAACGCAAATAAGGGCATTGTTCTGAACCCTTTATTCTGAAAATAAACAGGATGTTTTAAAGATTATTTTTTGGGGGGCTTTTTGTGCCTTTATTTGAGGGATAGGACGGTGGATAGAGTCGGAAGTCAGGGAGGGAGAGAGAGAGAGAGAGAGAGAGAGAGAGAGGGGTATGACATGCGGGAAAGGAGCTACAGGTCGGATTTGAACCTGGGCCGCCCGCTTGGAGGACTACAGCTTCCATACATGGGCGCCTTAATAAACCGGCTGTTTTCATGTTGTTTCTTCCTGTCCCGCTCGAGCTGCTCAGTGGTTAATTGATGCTCCGTGCTCTGGTGTCCAGCAGAAATAGAAGTCTTGAGTATCTGCTGCAGAGGACTCTGGACTGACCGAACTGAGACGCAGCGGAGCCAGAGGAAGAACACACACTGAATAAAACAAAAACCTACCAGCTCTCCTGCTGTGGCGGAGCGGAGACAGAGCCCCTTAGAAGTAAAGATTTTGTTCCTGGAGAATTGTGATAGAAAACAGGATGGTGCGGCATGTATACACATGTATACACATGTATACACATGTATACACATGTATACACATGTATACACATGTATACACTGTATACACATGTATACACATGTATACTGACCCCGGTTTCTGACAGCTGCCGACTACCTGCTCAGCCAAGTGAGCAAAACAAACATGGCGGCAGCAGCGAGAGCATCTTACTTCTGGAGCTCTCTTAGCAGGATTATTAAAGTGAAATATGTCCAATGAATCATATTCTACACAGACACCTAAAGAACAAACATCCCCGTCTGTCATGATTTTATCACCACAGCACGAATAAGAAAGTAGTGTCTGGAAATAAACATGTAAAAATATCTTTTGGTTTGTGTCGTCTGGGCAGCTAAAGTCTGCAGAGTCTCTCTCTAATCATAAGAGAGAGGGTGTGGTCATGTGACCCGGGAGTCCTCCTCTCACCTTGAATGCTATCGCAGAGATGATGGACAGGGTGAAAGCGATGGGCAGGTGAAACCTCAGGCGCTTTCCCAGCAGCCCCCTCATCACAGGCTTAGGCAGAGACATGTTGGATCACCTGCAGGAGAAGAAAGACGGAAATCACCATCAGTGAGTTTTCAGTAGACGTATCGGTGAATTCATCATTACAGCTGAAAACTAATGCAGTTCAGCGCTTCCAGTGCTCGGAGTCCAGAGCGCAAAAACGCTGTCAACGTCAGCTGCTTTTTGTCGCTGCGCTCACAGCATGCTCAGTTACATTTCGTAACCTAGCAACAATGTCAGGAGAAGTTGTAAATGACCCGAGCTTCTAGTCAAAGCATTAGAACAAGATTCACAAGATTCATAGTAGATAAGGTCGACATGTGGAAGCTTAATCTAAATGAGCAACAGGGTACCCGTGCACAGCCCACCTACGTCCTCAGGTGTCGGTCGGTTGCAGGAACATACAAGGAAAAAAAATCAATCAATAAACCATGACACACTCAGAAATGACTTTACTGTCACTTCACTGTGAGCGACACTGAGTTTAGTCTGTAACTTCCTCAGGTACGCTCATCCAGAACATCATAGAGAGCTGTCTCCCCCCCTCTCACTCAGGTCACCATGTGGTGGACTCTGAAGCTTCAGTGTTTATCCAGCTCTGCATGGGTCTGTAAACCTTTCTGTGTTCTAACCTCTCTCCATTTTTCAAAAGCATCTCCAATATTGATCCTAGTTTGAGCACGTTTCTGCTCGTGGAGCTTATTAGAAACATGCAGAGGCTTTTTAGGTCGGGTACAATCACTTCTATCTGAACCACTTCTCTTGACCGCTTCCATCGCTGCAACACCTGTTGACCTGATAACTGCTCTCATATCTGACAAACCGAGGGGCGTCCAAAACGGCCGTGTAGGGGGGGGTCGCCTTAAAACCGCCTACCTTCTCTGGTCCAAACAAATCCAGAGCATTCAGGAGCAGAATCTAAAGTTAGAAGGAGGACATACTGGCTGCTGCATTGTTGTCAGAGAAGCCAGCACTTCAACATAGCATGTTTCCTTAATGATCAGAGAGTAAGATACCTTTATCATCTCACTCACTACACAGCTCACTGACTGGATCTTTAAATGTTCATAATGACATGAACAGCTGATCAGGTCATGTGATGTCTCTCTGTGTGACCTCTGAGGAGTACGTGACCCTTACCACCCTGAGGTGTGACATGTATCATTTAAACATTATTAAAACAGGTGTAATGTGACAGATCCCAGCAGGAGGTTCAAATCAGACAGAGTCATAAAAACATAAAAACAGAACTTCCTGTTTTAAAGGTAGTTTAACATGAAGAATAAACCTTATATCTGCTGTGCATACAACATTAATGTGTCACATACAGTTAATAATAATAATAAAAGCTTTAGTTAGCTGTTAGCTCATAACGGCACCATGATCTGTTAGCATGAACTAGCCTGACACAGCTAGCTGCTAGCCTCTCGGACATTAGAGAGCAGAGCGGGATAAATTCAGGATAAATCAACATTCAAGGAGTTTCACATCGTTTGTTAAGACCTTATGTCTCCTTTTAGATTCGACACACATATTTACAGAGTGTTAATTTAACAGAATACTCACTTGTTGGACTCACGACCTTCACAGATACCGCTAACACAATTCAGCAGCAGAGCTCTACCGGAAGAGATTCTACCGGAGCCGCAGAGGGACAAAAACTACGTCCTGTAAAAGCGAAGTCAGGCCAGTTGAGGTCAAGGAAAAAGAAGACAGGCAGGGGACGAACGAACACATTCATGTGCACAAAACAACTTAATCAGTGTATGGCATACCACACATATTGTTATTTGTAGGATATTTAAATGTTAATATGTTTGTTTAAGTATTTTAATCTATTAGATGATTCATTTAATTATGATTAACCTTTGATTCAGGACTAATATTATGTGTAAAGCTGGATTATGGATAGAAATTATTGATCAGGTATGCTCACACACACACACACACACACAAATAATTTAACTATGGTGAACTGTGCTCTCTTGTACAACATTAAATATCAACAATAAACAGAATAAGAAAAGACTAATATTTACATGACTAAATATGAAACAGTGAGAAAGATGCTGAAGTGACATGATAAGTAAAATGCAGTTATGTGACAGATGGGTCAATTAAGATGTAAATTACAGTATTTACATAAATAAGTGTGTGTATTATCATTTAAATTAAATTATATATATATATATGTATATTCCGTGATGTGGAGAACTGTACCTTTATTTTCCCACACATATCTTTATCTTTAAACAACCTTAAGTTTATCTGTGGTAAACATAAACCACTAAGTTTGTCAGTAAACTAAACATTTTCTAGTACCGCAGTTTGACCACAAGAGGGCAGCAGAGACACACTGATCTGACCTTCCACTTCACAGAATCTCTGCGTTCAATCAACACTCTTTGTTCTGCTCTTGAAGAGCACCTCACTTCTACCTTTTTTAGTTTTTTTTCCAAAACTATTTTTTTGATTAAATCCATTTTAAACATTTTCTGTGTGCATGAGGCATCAATTCCTTTCAGACGGTAACAGAATGAAACAGGAGCAGATGGCTTGAGGGTTACAGGTGCAGCTCATTTAATTAGAACATTGTGAAAAATTTAATTTGCTCCCCATAAAAAAGTTAAACTTTCATATATTGTATATCAATAAAACATTAAGACTTCTGAGAAGTATGTTCATTTATGCACTCACTTGGCTGGGGCTCATTTTGAATAAATAACTTCAAAGTGCTGAGGTGTATGGAAGCTCAGGTTGCTTTGAGAGCGTCCTTCAGCTCGTCTTGTCGGGTCTGATGTCTCTGTCAGACTGAGTCCTCACACTGACCTCCTCTCTCCACCACATTATGTTGATTGTGTTCAGATGTCAAACTCAGGGTTATCTCTCACAGCTAATAGCACAGATCGTTTTTCCTAA